TTGCTACTGAAAATTCCATCTGTGTGCTTTTTATGCACCATACTTTTGTACTTATCACACATCTATCACCTGACAAGTGTTCCCTGAGCACCTGCCATGTACCAGGTATGTTCTAGATAAAACAGTGGGAAACAAATCACAGACAAGTCCTCATCATCCCACTACAGAGAGGGTGAGTGTCTTAGTTACTTTTTCTCATTCCTGAGACAAAAATACCTGACACTCAAAGTTAAGGAGGGACACACAGGTTGACTCACAGTGTGTGGAGGTTTCAGTCCATAGTTGGCTGGCTCCAAGGCAAGGTGGCATTGCAGAGGAGCATCGCAGAGGAGAAACAGTCCATGGCAGGCAGAAGACAGCAAAAGCAAGCAAGCAACCAGACAAGCCTCTTTCTGCCCCTTATATTGTAGCCAGGCTACCGGGATTGGGCGGTGCCAAACCACGAAGTGGACTGATTTAGTAATCACACACCCTTAATCCCAGCCTCACACACTCTAGATCCAGCCACTTCTGTAACAGCCCCCACCTATGACCACATGAGGCTGAGGGGACAGCTAGACATAGGCTGTAACTCTGGGTTAGAAGGGAGGAGGAGAGTCAATACAGAATAGCACAAATAAGGAATCACAAACCATGGCAAGGATCTCTGAGAAGAAAAACTCTGCATGCACAGAGTGGAAGTGGCAGAGTTTCATGGTTTATAGCTAGATGTCCCCACAAAGCCTTGTGTACTCAACAAGAGGTGGAGCTTGTGGAAGGTGATTGGATTATTGGGGGCATTACAGCTGGCTTGTCATTAAGAGGTGGGATCAGTGTGAACTGGAAGGATTTATCTCCCTCCCTGGCTCTCCCCTTCCCCTCTCTCAGCTTCCTGCCTGCCATGCTTCTCTGCCATGCCATTTCTTCTTTGGAGCTGGCCCAATATGGACTGAAACATGAGCCAAAATAAACTATTGTGTCTCAGTTGGTCTCAGGGACAACTGTTTTAGAACGGTAGGCCTCAGGGATGGGTGCTCTGGAAGTGTCCTTTAGTTTGAGATCTGAGGAGTAAGGTAGCATTGGCCAGGTTGAGAGTTGGGCACAAGAAAGTTGTACTAGAAGGATCAAGTCTGTGGGAACACCCCAGGCAATGATGAATGAAGACTGGGGTGCTGGGAGAAAGTGAAGGAGCAGATGCTGCTGGTGGCTCCTCCCTCTCTATGCCCTGGCATTCTGGCTTCCAGGGCATGCTGTGGCTGCCTTAGAGCAAGCATTTGTAGCTCTCCACAAGTGAATCTTTGGGCATGTTCATCTGTAGCATAATTGTCCTGCCCCTGTCCCTGCGGGGTTGAGCTCCATCTGAGTGCAGGGGTAACCTGCTCCTGCACAGGTCAAACATTGGTTTCTTTCTCTTCTTCATACTGCATCAGGTTCCCAGTCTCCAGCATTTCCTGGGGGTCATCTGGCACATAAACAACTTGCCCTTGAATCTTCATCTCCTGGCCCAGGCTGGGTGGCCTGAGGTCAGCTGGTGAGGGAGGAGTCTGAAAGGCCAGCAGAGTTGGAGCCCAGGGAAGGCTGGAGTTCTCGAAGCATGCTCTGTGGAACCCCAGTGTTGCTAGAGACCTTTTCTGGGAGAATAAGTGAAATTGATTTTTCTATAAGAGCACTAAGATTGTATTTGCTTTTTTTCATCATTGCAACATTTCACTGTTAAATGCACAGAAATTGTAGATAAAAACAATGGGGCATGAAGAAAAGCTATACTAGGAATCCTTGTAGTCTTCGCTACTGATATTTGCAGAGAAAAATGCCAAATTCACTTAAAAACGTCCTTGAGGGTGCCGGGGATTTAGCTCAGTGATTTCATCGCCTGCTGCGCAAGTGCAAGGACCCGAGTTCGATCCCCAGTACCCAAAAAAAAAGTCCTTGAGCTATAAAATGATTGCTTTTTATTAAATCTCTTATGAGAATACTCTGAAAACTCTAAAAATTCTGCAAACAGGATGGTTAGCAAGTATACCTAAGGTACTCTGCTGTGTACCAAACTTAGCAGTTATCTCAAGGAAATGCACTTGAGTTATGATTGAGTTGGCAGCTAAACCTCTTTCTTCATGGAATTTTGCTTAGAAGAATGACTGGCAAGGAATCAAAGTATGATGATTCAGACTTGAATACCTGCAAGACATTTTCTCAAAATGAACAAAGGGAACATGTCTCTTCAAGAAATACATTATTTGCTGTCAATAATAAACTTTGAATTTCTAAATGAAACCTAAAATTTTGGAAAACTTGTATCTGTTCTGGTTAGTTTGATAGTTCCTTAACACCTGGAGACTCTTCCAAGGAGATGGGTGATGATATTAACATGTGATTTTGGGATAATGTATAAGTATACTGTGACAATATTTGGAAGATCTGCCTAGCTCAATGAAATGATATTTTAAAAATTTAATTTTATTGGTACATTTTAGGTATACAATATAATGACTTTCATCATTGGAAATTTGCACCTTTACATAATCTCTCTTGGTTCTTCTTTTTCCCCCTTCCCCTGCCCTCCCTTCAACCCCTCCAGTCCTCCCTATTTACAAAGACTTTGTTTTCATTTTTTTATTTTCTCATATTAATCCCATTCCCTTCTTCCCCCCCCCGCCCCACTTCCCCTTCTCCCTTGCACGTTTTCTTCCTATTTCACATTATCTATTATACCTTTTAGTCCTTATTTACACTTTCGGTTTCTTACACCAGAGAAACTATTCACTATTTATTTCACTTAAGAGTATCACCTCAATGTGCATCCATTTAGCTATAAATGTCTCTAATTTCTCACTCTTTATGGCTGAGTAGTACTCTATTTTAGAAAAAAAAACACATCTTCTTTATCCAGCCTCCAGTTGATGGGCATTTGGGCTGTTTCCAAGTTTTAGCTATTACAAATTGTGCTGCTATGAACATGGGTGCACATATATCACTGTGGTATGATTCTTTTGATTCTTTGGGGAAGATACCCAGCAGGGGAATAGCTGGGTCAAATGGGACTTCCAGTCCTAGTTCTTTGAGGTATCTCCATACTGATTTCCACAGTGGTTGGACCAGTCTACACTCCCACCAGCAGTGGAGCAGGGTTCCTCTTTCCCCACAGCCCTGCCAGCATTTGTTATTGGTTGATTTCATGATAGCAGCCATTCTTTCTGGAGTGAAGTGGAATCTCAGCATTGTTTTTATTTGCATCTCTCGAATGACCAGTGATGTTGAACATTTTTTCATGTATTTATTTGCTATTTCTACTTCTTTGTCTGAGAAATGTCTGTTCATTTCAGATGCCCATTTTTGGAATGGGTCTTTAAATTTGGGAGGTCTGGTTTTTTAAAGTTTTTTGTAGATTCTAGAGAGTAGACCTCTGTCTGAGGAACAGCTGGTGAAAATTTTTCCCCACATTGTGGATTGTCTCTTCACACTATTGGTGGTTTCTCTTGCTATTCAGAAGCTTTTTAATAAGAAGAGATCCCACTTGTTGATTGTTTGTGGTAGTTCATGTGCAACTGGGGTTTTGTTCATAAAATCTTTTCCTCCACCAATGTCTTCAAGAGTTCTACCTACCTCTGTTCCAGCCGGTTTAGTGTTTCTGCTTTAATATTTAGATCTTTAATCCATTTCAATTTTAGTTTAGTGCATGGTGAGAGATATAGGTCTAGTTTTGATCTTTGGCAAGTTGAAACCCAATTTTTCCACCACCATTTATTAAAGAAGCTACTTTTCCTCCAGTGAGGGTGTTTGGCTCCTTTGTCAAAGATGAGGTGGCTGAGTGTGTCCGGAGTTGCGTCTGCATCTTCTAATCTGTTCCACTTGTCCTCAGGTCTGTTTCTTTGCCAGTATTTTTCAAATGACCAATGAATGATGTACAGAATTATGTATGCATGAAAGATCCTTCAAAGAAGAAGAAAATCCAATGAATTTTAGAGTAATTGAGTTGGGAAAAGTTACTGATATAGCTTCAGATTTCACATTAAAACTAATTTTTAAGAAATGACCATCTGCTGAGATTTGGTATTGAATCAAAAAAGAATCTCTACAATAAATATTCCTTCCTTTTCCAAATGCTTTCAAGGCCAAGTTTTCTTCAGATTTATCTACATAACATAGCAACAGATTTAAGGGAGACCTAAAAATCCATTTGCCTTCTATTAAGTCAGACACAAAAGAGTTTTGCACAGATGTGAAACAAAACCACTTTTTCACTAACAATTTTTGAGAAATGGATCTCATGACGGTTATTCACATTAATTTGTTACTTATGTCAGTTACGTTTATGTAATGCTTTTATTATTGTTTAAACAAAACTAAAAAGTGTTTTATTATTATTTTTTAAAAGGTCATAATTAAAATGCAATGTTTTCAGTTTAATTTTTTAATAAGGTAAAGGTCAATAGGTGGAGCCCATACACAAACACCCTTTGAGATCCTTAATATCTTTTATGAATGCCAGTAAGTTCTTTCTTTTCTTTTTTTTTTTGGTGCTGGAGAATGAACCTAGGGCCTTACTCATGCTAAGCACATCTGTCTAGCAGTCAGCTACACCCCCAGCCCCATGCAAATAAGCCCTGAGATTTAAAAGTTTGAGAACTGCTGATGTAAAAACCTTGAAGACTGCAGGGTTTTAGGAATTCTCTCCAATGCGGCGAGGAGCTGCTGAAGACCTTTAAGCAGGTGAGCTCTGAGGCAGATCTTGAAAATCATTAACCTTGCCTGTGTGTTTATGTACGTGATTAAAATATGTTAACAGCTTCTGCAGCTCTGGCAGGCTGAAGGGACCCTAATGGGGCATTTCCAGTCTGCTCCAAATCTCTATTAGAGAGGAATACCAACCGCTCTTCTCTCCAGCAGATGCACAGGCTTGAGCTCCTGATAAGTGGGCGTTCCTGTCTTGCTCTTTAATTAACTGCATTCAAGTCATCTGAGTCATGACAAAAGCATTCAGCCACTTAACAAATACCCACAGGTGACATTTTGGTGTGGGAGTTGATGGAGGGCACCTGAAAAAGATTAAAGTCCTTACCCTTGAACAGCCTCAGGTCTGAGGGGGAGGGCCAGATCTGCTTTGTGCAGGTGAGTGATTACCTGGCTACCTTCCTCTGACTTGCCTTTGACCCTAGGATACTGTTAGCTGTATTCGGCAATATTTTTCTTGATCTTACTCTGCTCTGGAGGATGGGGTCCAACTGTGCCAAAGGGGAGAGAGAAGATTTGAATGGGAAGAGTGGGGGAGGAAAGAGAGGAGAAAGGAGCCGAGCCTTCTAGCTAAAATGTCATTTTCAGTGCATCAAGAGTCCATTGTTTAAATTCCTGAACTTGCCCACTGCGGACTCTGGGGTTCCCTGTGTGTTTAGCAGATAGCATTTAGTGGGCTGAGCAGGGGAAGTGAGCATTTGTCTCACTAAGCAGAGGCCAGCCTGCTGTGTTCCTCCAGGCAGGAATGGGAAAACAGAGGGAACTGTTGTACCACGGGCAATGTCATACTGAAGCGAGTGCTTACTTTCTGGATTACAGGTTGACTGGGCAACTAAGAAGGCGCAGGCCAGCGTGGGACCACTGCACACGCAGCTGAGCTCCCCACAACTGAGTCAGAGCCCTCAGGCCTGTGTAATGTGGCCTCCCAGTGCCTATCGCCTGGGGGCTTTGCACCTGTGAGGGAAGCTCAGGCTGGTCTTTCAGGGAGCCAGGGGGTCCCTCTTGAAGCAATCCTCGCCTTTCAGCCTTGTGTTTCCAAAGCCTTTCAGCACCAAGTAACAGGTTGATTCCTTTTAAAATGTGGGGAGCGGATTGGGAAGCAACTGCCTGGGCACGTTCCTCAGGAAGGGATGTGGAGAAGGTGCGTACAAAGCAGGGCTCCCTCCTCCTCCTCTGGAGCTGCTCGTCTTGCAGGCCGTGGGCGTCCTGGAGGAAGTTTCTGCCTGTATCGGGGAAGTCGCCTCTCTCTTCCCGTCTGCTGTGGCCTCAGGCAGCCCCACAGCCATTTTATTTCTCTCTTCCAGGAGCAGAGCTGCACTTTTGGCATGAGCTCACAGAGCTACCACCAGAATGGAAATAGGAAGCCTCCAGTGTATTTTTCCAAAATCTAGTTTTTCCCTGTGATCCCCTTGCAAAAGAGGGAAAATCCCTGAAGAGAGATTGCTGGTTTGACTTGGCCCCTTCATCTTCCTTCCAGATTTCCTAACATGAAAAGTCTGCATTAGCTTCAATCATATTTGCAAGATAGGAAACTAGCAAATTGGATTGGTTTTCAATTTTGCTTTGTGATACTTTGCAAACTATGGAGAAGAGTTTCCCCAAGGCGGAATTGTTCCCTTGGCTGAAATCCTTTAACACCCTGATTTGAGGGATTGTAAACCAGAATAATGATTCTTTCTCCTTTCTCTTTTGGGATGTCTGATTGTCCATCTGCAGAGGTGTTTAAAGCTATTTCATGTTCTTCTTTCTCACCAGTGCAGCCCTGCTGCAGGTCTTCATCACCTACACTGCAGATTTCTGGGGCATCTTAACTGGTCCAGTCTCTAGGTGGCTCCTGCCCCTTTCATCCTTCTGGCTAGGACTGGTTGCTCTGCTTCTGCAGCCTCCCTCTTCACGCTGTGTGGCCTCCTGTTGCCTGAAGGGTAAAGCCTGGACTCCTGAACACGGTGTTTGTGTAACAGGGACCTAGAGGTTAAACCTACAGGTGTCCAATGGGAAATTGAAGGCAGGATGGAGCCTGGCATCTCTACCTTCATTTTTGAGACATTAATTTAAACTTTTTATGAGTACATGTTTGCAGTGTGTAATGATTACATTCACTGTGGGAAATTGGTACATGTACGTTACACATCTTACTTCTTTTTACTCTGCCTTCCTTTTTTTGTATCCTCCTTTATTACCTTAGAACCCTGGGTCAGGTTCTTGCTCAGCTCTGCGGGCACGCGTGTTAGTCACTTAGCATCTGTAACACAAGATTACAAGCCCCAAATATGCCTAAGCTATCTCATCCCCCTTCGAGCCTGAGAACACCAAGATAAGAGTAACTGAGTTTTGGAGTTTGGAGGGAATTCAAGTGCCAGCTTTTACAATGTCCAGGAGTGATGCCTAGAAGCCCCCAGTCTCTGTCCTAGATCTGTAGTCACCTTGGATTCCAGGAAAAGCAAAGTCCGGAGCACCACCCCATGACAGGAACACAGGCCACCCCCACCCCAAGGCAGCTGTCATTTCCGGATAGGAACTGACTTGCCCCCTCAAGCGATGGTGGCTCTCCCAGTACCTTGCAGAACTGGTCCTGAGAAGCAATCAGCCGGACCTCTATGTGACCAGTACTACCTACGCGGCCAGCTACGCAAACCTCCAATGCTGGCCTCTGCTCACCTTTGCTATTAAATCCCACAGCCTCTGCCAGTCCCTGAAGATGGATCTTGAACCTTTCTCTGTCCTCCTAGCAGAACCATGCCGATGAAAGCTCCTTTCCAGCCCTTTACCACAGTGCGTCTCCTTGAAGGGCATTATGGGATGGGTGGCTGAACCTGGTCTGTTGGGACCCCTGGAGCTGGGGCTTTTGCCCTCAAACTCTGGTAACAGTCACAGAGAACTGCACGCTCACTGCATATCCATGTGCTTTTCTACATTTGCCCTCCTTCCTTGCAATTAATGGCACCAGGTGCCAGGTTCTGGTCAATGGGAGATGGGGAAGAGTGAAAGAAGCCATGGCCAGGCCTGGCCTTTCCTTAAAAACATCCATAGCCTCAGCTGTCTCCTATCCTGCCATGGTGAGCTCACAGGCTACGGGCTTGTTATAGGTTGAATTGTGACCCCCCAAATCTAGGTGGAAATCCTAACCCTCTCCTGTCTGTGAATGTGGCCTTGTCTGGAAACAAGGTCTTGGCAGGTGTATTCGTGTTATGATGAAGTCGTTATGAGGCCCCTGATCTAAGGCCGAGGGACACACTCAGAGGGACGAAGGCCGTGTAAAGAGGGGGCAGAGACGGGAGTGACATGGCCACAGGCCGAAGGACACCAGGATGATCCTTCTCTAGAGGCCACACGGGGAGCTGGCTCCTCGCTGTGTCCAGTTTCTGGTGAGTGAGAAGCAAACCTCCTGTGGTCACCTAGCCCCATGCTTTTGTTTAAACAGAGGGGAGGTGTGAAGTCCTTTAAGGTTGGGGTTTCCACTTAACTCACAGGGGTGCAGTGCTGAGTCTAAACCCAAGGCTGCAGACCAGAGAACAGAGTTTTGTCCAGCCTGGATCCCTTTATTTGACAATGGCCACAGTCACAGGCCAAAGGCTGTCTGGGAGGAGTAAATCATAAATTCTCAGTCTCCCCCCTTTGGCAGCCTGATGTTCATGTGTGGAAGGAAAAGGAAAAAGGTCCCAGGAAAGAGTTACTGGATCTAGAACATTGCCTGCCGTAGAAATATCATGCAAGCTTACGGAATGTAAAATTATCTAGTATTGAATCAGTGCATTTTTGTTACTATTATGAAATACCTGAGGCTGTGTGCTTTATAAATTAAAGAGACTTATTTTGACTTATGGTTCTGGAAGGGCCATGTCTCGTAGTGATCTTGCTGGTAGAGCCCTGAGGTGGCTCAGAACATCACATAGCAAGGACTGGTAGCTTCAGTGTGTTCCTGGGCTGCTCCCTCTGACAAGGATTCATTCACGTTGGTTCCATCCTGATGACCTTAACTAATTCTAATCACTTTCCAAAGGCCTCACTGTGAATCATACTCAGATTAAGTTTCTACCATTTAAATATTCATATGGAAATTAAATTCCAACACAAGTTTTGGAGGAGACAGACTGTATTCAAATTACAGCAAGTGTGTACAATATAAAGTACAATAATTTTAATAATAAATTTTAATTTTAATATATCATTCATTTTTTGTGTACTAGGGATTGCACCGAGGGCCTTTGCACTAAGCTATGTCCACAGCCCTTTTTAAATTTTTACTTTGAGTTAGGGCCTCATTAAATTATTAATTTGCCCAGGCTGGGCTGGAACTTACAGTCCTTCTGTCTCGGCCACCCTGAGAACTGGGATTACAGGCATGCACCACCAGGCTTGGCTATACAAAGGACCCTTGACTTATGAACTCAATTCATTTTTGAGGGCTGGTTGTAACCCCAGTTGGTCAACTGAAGGCTCAGGCTCCTCTACACAGCCTTCAAAGTGGCAGATCTCAGTGTCCTTAGAGAGACACTGGCCCACGATTTCTTGGTTAACCCCACATAGGAAAGGATGTTGCAATGTTCCTTCCAGAACTCTTTAAGGGTTAAATCTGTATCTGAGACCATCTGGAAGCACAAGCAGTCGGCATTAGAGTCTTTCAAGACTTTGGTCATAAGTTTTAACTAAAATTCCGGTCACAACCCATATTGTTCGTATGTCAGGCCATTTATAACTTGAGGGTCCACTATAATATTAATTTTAATAAATATAATTTATTTAAACCAATAGATCCAAATATAATTTAAATGTAAAATTATCATCATTATTATTTTTAGTGGTGGGGAGAGAATCCAGGGTCTTGCAAGGCTGAGCACACACTCTACCAGTGAGTTACACCTTCAACCTCAGTACAAGCACTATTAAGTTATTTTGCATTGTTTTTTCATGCTAAGTCTTTGTAGTCTGTAATGCATATTACACATTCAGCACAATTGGATTTGCCACCTGTCAGGTGCTCAGCCGTCACCTGGGGTTCCTGGCCGCCATCTTCATGGTCCAGTTCCTGAGCACTGTGTGCCGAACTACTGTGTCCAGGGTCTGATCAGATCGTTAGTGTGTGGGGCACCTGTGCTGGGAGGTTTACAGAAGCCACCGCGATTCCTCATAACTTATAAATAAGGGGAGCAGATAATGTGTTATGCAAGCCAAGACACCGCTGTGGGTCGAAGGGGCTGCTCTTAATAATCGTGCAGGTGACAGGCATAGCCCAGGAGACCGGGACAAGTGGCCACCGTGGCTGTAAAGAGACCCTGCAGAGGAGGCTTTGGCTGTGGGTCTGGAGACCACCATCATGGGAGTCACTCACTGGGAAGCCCGGCGGCCGTGGATGGAGAGAGACGGAAGACCCCTGGCAAAAGCACTGCCAAGGCCTCTAGGCGCACCGGGGAGAGCACCTGAGATTGAATCCAGGCCAAATGAGGCACCAGGCGACTGTGCAAGGGCAAAGAAGAGGGGATTGGCTTAAACCGCCAAGTGTGGGATTTAGTCAGAGCAGAGACTTCCCGGAGCGGAGAAGGTGTTTTAGAGACTAATGTGCTGCTGCTTTCTGGGGCTTGAAAAGCAGCCTGAACTCCGTTCACCCTTGGCCAAGAACTACCTGTTGCAAAGGAGCAAGATAAATAGCAACTGTCCGAGCCCCTTCTGGCTCCAGATCCCAAGGTAAAACAAAACTATTGGCTGCAAAAACTATTTCAAATATAGCAACCTAGTTTGAGCCAGGTAAAATTTGTTGCAAAATCTGTATTCTTAAAGCACTGACTTTGAGGAAAATAAGGAATACAAAATAAAACCCAACACATGTTTAATGATTATGGATAATACAGAAAGAAATAATTTTCACATTCTCTTTACCTAGGATTTAAGAAGAATAATTGCAAGAAACAATCTTCCCTTGGAGCTTTTTCTCACAAATCTTGTTTTTAAAAACCCTACTTGTTTTCTTGATAGGTACTTGAGGGAGATGATACTATTTCATGTGTTACATTAAACCAAATGTCTTCTGCTATAATTAATTTTTAGTGTAAAATGACACCAAAGCAAGCATGTACATTATACATTACCATAGTCAACAGATGTTTATTTTCCTTTAAAATTCACTAAGTTTTCACCTTTTTTTTAATAACCCACAAAGCATTTTGAGTATTCAGCTGATACTCATAGAATCAAGGTGGGTAGTCTAGTTTTAGCCAATAAACAGCAGCAGGTGACTCAATGACGCCCTGGCTGAGTGCAGAATGGGAATCCAAGTTTCAATTTCAGCCACACCAACACGGTATGGACCAAACCCCTCAGTCTCTTGGAGTCTCAGGCAGGAAAAATGCACTAGGGGCCTCCTTTTTACTGCAAGTGGTAGAAATAGGAATCAAACTGATGTAACAACAAGGCCATCTGCCCTGCCACAGATGAGGGAAGCTGGGGGAGCAACGGCAGGAGGGAATGTTGATTCAGAGTTACCCAGGGTCGAGTCCTCTCTGTCTCCAGCTCTGCTATCTCTTCATCATCGTTTTCAAGCTGGGATGGGAACACGAAAGCTGTGGCAGTTCCAGGTGTCCAGACACGATCACGTCCAGGGGAGGAAAAGACTTTCCTTTCTTTCTATGGCTTTCCTATAACAGCCTTTCTGACGTTGTTTCTTCACATCCCCTTGGCAAGGCTGGGTCCCACGTCCTTTCAGCCCTGCTGTGCTCCCTGGCCTGGGGAATGGGTCACTCTGAGGAGCTCAGGCAAATCACTGGCATGGATCAGATGATCGGGAGTTAACCCCAGTGTGTACACAGTGAGGCTATCTCTTGGGGTGTGGGACAGCACCAAGGGGTGGACAGTTTGTGAATGATAACACTGTCTAAATATGAAAGTTTTCATTATTATTTATTCATAATGGAGTTGTATTCAACTAAGAATACCACAATGATACAAGAGGATGCATTTGAATGTCTAGTATTTGTCCATCAGTAGGGTTATGTTTCTAGTTTTTCTTCCTGAAACTCTTTCAAGACTACTTCATAATGCAGACATGAGAGGACACCTATTACCTATCATGAAGACACAGAGAGACATCATACTTTATACTCCAGTCTGGCATGTGGCGAAGTTCAGATTCGCATAAAAATGTTTTTATAACCAGATCAGTGCCAAGGGCTACTCGAGAGGCACAGAGAGGACTGAACTCCGGTAGCTGTATTGGAATACATCCCAGTGTTTCCACTTAGTACTTGGGTGACAGATCATTTTCCTTAAGCTCTATGAGCCTCAGTTTCCTGATCTGTACCATGAGCCTAAAAATATCTATCTCATGAGTTGAATGGATAGCATGAAACAAAGCCGAAAGCATTAATCCCAGTGTTTATCAGGAGATCAAGGGCCAGGGATTTAGCTCAGTGGTTCTGCCACCCACCTCAAAAGAGCAAGGTCCCAAGTTTGATCCCTGGTACCAAAAACAAAACAACAAAAATCAGATGTTCACATAGGAGGTATTTTCAAATTATTATTTAAAATATAATAATGATGTCTCAGAAAATACCCCAAATCTCAGCAAATTCAATAAATTGAAATAGACAGATATTTATAAATGAAAGTATCTACTAAAAATAAAAATATCCTCCATTGGAAGTAGTGGCTGGGGAAGGAGAGAAGTAGTGAGAGTCAGTTCATGGGGCAAATCACAAAGTAATCAAGTACCATCCCATGGTTCTGGGGCCGTCCAGAAAGAGCAGTGAATGTGAAAGTGTGTGCATATGTGTGAATGTGTGCGTGTGCACAAGATATATTTTCATATCTAGGATAACTATCTTTGGCCTTTATTTTTAAGCCAGCATCGCAGAGGTATAATTTACATAGGATAAAATGCGTCTATTTTAGGGATACACTTTGGTGGGTTTTGACAGTTGTATGCATGTGTTTAGCCAGCACAACCAAAATTTAGAGGACTTGATCATCCTATAAAAGTTCGCCAGTGTTTCATTGTCCCAGGCAATTGTTTTTTTCTCAGTTGCTATAGATTAATTTAACCTCAAGTTTCCCAAATTTTGCCGAGGTTCTCTGGCCCAGGACTGGAAACTAAGAAGGCACCATGGATGCTTTATATTTTTAGGAGTTGAAAATATGGACACATCTGTTAAGCACTATGGGAACCACTATTACAAAACTGTTTGGAGCTAGTGACACAATAAGTGGAACTGTTAGGTATTTCTTTTGGCTGAGGGCCACAATGATAAAATGACTGAGACACTCATAACAGGATTTTTGAAGCCCATCTATATGATTGCATTTATCATCATATCAGATTCACATTGCTGAGTTTAGTGTGAGGATGGAACACAATTTCTCTAAAGAAAGCTGATATGAGCATTCACATGCAAATCTTTTCAGTACCCACGCTTTCATTTATCTTGGGTAGATATCTGGATGCAGAATTCTTGGGTCATATGTTAGGTGTATCTTTAACTTTTTAAGAACCTGCCAAACGGTTTTCCAAAGCACACTTTTACAGCCTCAGTTGCTCTACTTCCTTGCCAGCACGTTACTGCCAGTCTGTAATTTTAGCCACTTAAGTGGGTGTGTGGTGCTATCTCAATGTGCTTTTTAAATTTGCATTTTCCTGATGACTAATGATGTTGAGAATCTTTTTTTGTGGCTGTTAGCCATTTGCATATCCCTTTTAGTGAAGTTTATGCAGTTAAATTTTTTTAAAAAATTGAGTGGTTTGTCTTCTTAAAATTGAGTTGTAAACATTTTTATATATTCTTAATACACGTCCATTGATGGAAGGTGTGTGTGTGTGTGGGTGTGTGTGTGTGTGTATGTGTGAGTGAGTGTATGTGTGGTTTTCTCTTGGTGCATGATTTGTATTTTTATTGTCCTAACAATATCTTTCAAAGAACAAAAGCTTTCAATTTATTTTTTATTTTTTGGTACTGGGGATGGGAACTCAGGACCCTGCTTTGCGCTTGTGAGGCAGGTGCAGTGCCACTGTGCTAAATCCCCAGCCCTAAAAGCTTTTAATTTTGATGAAATCCTTTTTATCAATAGTTTGGTGCTTTTTGTGTGTCTTAAGAATTTTTTTTGTCTAACTCAAGCTCATAAAGATTTTATCCTGTTTTTTCTAGATGTTTATAGTTTTAATTTAGATATATGGTCTATTTGGGTTAGTTTTTGCATATGGTGTGGGATAAGGGTGAAAGTTCATCTTTTTTCTTTATGATATTCAGTTGACCAAGCACCATTTGTTGAAAAGACTATCCTTTCTCTGAGGAATCCCCTTGGTACCTTTGTTGAACATTAATTGACCGACTATGTATTGGCCTCTTTCTAAACTTTCTCTTCTTTTCCATTTGCCTTAGGACTGTCCACACTGTGATTTCTGTAGCTTTATAGTAGGTCTTGAAATTCAGGTAATATAAATCCTTCAATTTAGTTTTTCTTTTCTTTTCTTTTCTTTTTTTTAGTTTTTCTTTTTCAAAATTGTTTTGGTGAAATTATATATCCTTTTCATTTTTATATAAACTGTAGAATCAACGTGACATTTCTACAGAAAAGCCTGGTGGAATGTGATGATCTTCTTAAGCATGAATGAGACTCTAGAAAGCTGAGTAAATTTTGATGGTGATTTAAATGGTGAATGAGAAAAAGCAAGAATAGAAAAAAGTGAAGAAAATCTCCCAAACTATCTTTACAATTGCATCTTTAAATCAGTCATTCAGTGTGTGTGGAAATGCTAGTCCTCTGGGAGCAGTAACACATTAAAGTTTTGACTCTTCAGCAAGAGTTTAGCTGCTTGGTATCCAGTACATGTATTGAGATTGTAAAGAAATCAGGACATTAGAAGCAGAAAGAACTATATAAGCAAGAAGTTGGGGGAATGGCCAGGTTTGGTTATGGTTCTTCCTCAGGGTGCATGTGTCAGAGGGTTCCATCCCAATTTGATAGTGTGGATGTGGCATGGAACCTTTAAGAGGTAGAGCTCAGTGGGACCTCCTTAGGTCACAGAGAGGAAATCCTAGTTTGTTTTTTAAAAGAGGGTTGCCATAAAAGGAGCAAGTCTGGGTTTCTTGCTCCCTGGCCATATGATCTTTCTCTCTTGCATGTGTTCGTGCTATGATCTCATTTACCAATAGGCCCTCACCAGGGACCAAACAAATAATAGGGCTGACTGATTTTGGGCTTCCAGCCTTCAAATCTATGAGCTAACTAAATGTGTCTTATTTATAAAGTAGCCTGCCTCAGCTGTTTTGTTATAGTAATGAAACTGATACAGGGAGTGCCGAGATAAACATTTTACCATTTTAGTTTTGCTTTGAAAACTATAATTCAGAATATGTTTTCTCAGAGGGCACGCGGCTGTGGTCCAGTTGAGCAGAAACAATGGAGCACAAAGCCTGTGACCTCAGCATGACTTTCAGAGCTGTGGTGACTTGGTGTTTGCTAAAGAGGGATGGTGAGCAATGTTTATGGTCATCCTAGGAAATAATGAAAATAGTGTACAAACAGAATTAAAAGTATTCATGATTAACCAAAGATGGGCATATGTTGAAAGGACAGTAATAAAGTTGGAAGACCATGTTTGTGATACAGGAAAAAACAAACAAAAGAAGAGTTATTGTTGGGATCTAAAAAGTCCCTCAAGAGGACTTTTTGTGTTGAAGGCTTGGAAGTGATCAGATCATGAAGGCATAGGCTGTTCGGACATGGAGTCTCACTGAAATGAGTGGGTGATGAGGGCGTGAGCTTGGGGACAGAGTCTTGTCTCCGGCCCCTTCCTCTCTGGCTCTCTCACCCTCTCTGCTTCCTGGCTGCATGAGGTGAGCAGTTTTCTTCCACTACACCCTTCTGTCATGATGTTTCTGCTTCACCACAGGTCCTGAAGCAACAGAGCCAACTGACCATGGACTGAAACATCTGAAACTGTGAGCCAAGATAAATCTTTCCTTCAAGTTGTTGCTCTCAGGTATTTTGTCATAGTAACGGAAACCTGACTAATAATACATACAGCTATTAGCGGCAAAATGTCCTGGGTTCAGGTCCTGCCCTGCCACGTTTTTGTGTGTGATAATCAGACAAGTGGATCATAACACAAATTTTGCAGTTGGCCTTTAGGGTTAAACACAATTGTTCCCACTGCCTCCCGGATATTACAGGTACTGTACATCCAACACATCCAAAAATGAACCTCCATGTCCCTCTCGAGCCAGCTCCTCCTTTGATGTTTTCCTTCTTAATGACATAACCCTAACACCTGACCCTAATGTTAATTCCCTACCATCTGATGTAGCAGGTATGATATTTTTGAAGCCATTCAGAGTCTTTAGGACACCTTCCTTAAATTTGATTTTCCCCCAATGTAGAAACTAAAACCTAAAACAATAGCTAATCACATTTCCCTGTCTCCTTTGCTGCCAGGATGCATATCTGTGGCCTGGAGTCCACCAGGCAAATGTACCTGCATGAGACTTTAATTCCAAGTGGAGTGAGTGGAGAGGCAGGATTGGACATTACCATCTTGCTGGAATAAGTGTTGGCAGAGGCAGCACTGTTCTGGAGGTTCTTACCTTTTTTTTTTTTTTTTTTTTTTCCTTTTGTGGTATGGGAAATTGAACCCAGGCCTTTACACTGAGCTACATCCCCAGCCCTTTTTATTTTATTTTTATTTTGAGCCAGGGTCTCCCCAATTTTCCTAGGCTGTGCTTGAGCTCACAATCCTCCTGCCTCAGCCTCCCAGAGTGCTGGGATTACAGATCTGCACCTCTACACCCATGTTTCCTTTCTATTTTTACAAGGGAGTTGTTTCCAGAAATTCACCCTAGAGCCTCATCTACTCTTCTTCCAAAGATTCTTGTGGGCACCTAATACCCTATTATAATTCCCTTCTTTCCAAAATACCTGTAGTAGATTCTTTTGTTTCAGTTCAAAACCCAGAGCAAAACCCTAAAAGTGACACACAGTAAGTATGCAAGCCAAAAAACTTGGTGGCAAGACCTGATCAGTTTTTCTCTCTCATCACTGCAGTCATTCAGTCACCAAGTTTTCTGATTTATCTGCTGAGTCAGTCTGCTTCTTTCTCTTTCCACTATCCATCCCTAGTCAAAACACCATTGTCTTTCAACACGACTTTGGTAGTAGCTTCTAATTGGCAAACAAAAAGTGGTATATCCATACAATGGAATATTACTCGGCCATAAGAAGAATAAAGTTTTAATATAGGCTTTTAAAAATGCAGGAACCTGGAAAATGTGCCTAGAGAAAGAATTCAGGTCCATTAGGTCATATATTGTGTGGATCTCATTTATACAAAGTAACCAAAATAGGTAAGCCCACAGAGTCCATTAAGAGGGAGAGACAGCTAATGGGGCTTCTTTTCAGGGTGAAAACCATGTTCTGGAATTAGTGAGTAGTGATGGTCACACAAAATTATGAAGCAATCGTGGCATTGAGTTGCACATTTTAATATGGTAAATTTTATGTTATGAGTGGTTTATAACAGAAAAATCCATGGCAAATCTGGAAAGTGATAAGGAAATAATTTTTCAAAAATATTAACATCTAAGCAGTCCCACACCCCTTTTACACTTTTGCTCATCGTATGGTCTTTTTTCTCCTTAGGGGAATTATTTAGCTTCTCCCACTTTTATATTTGGGGTTTCTAAGTGGCATAGAGAAAGCCGACCGCTGTGTGGCTCTCAGCTTCCTCTGGCCCTGAGCTCACCTGCGCTGTGAATGAGGGCAGGGCCTAACTTTTCGCAGATGGCCTATGGGATCTGCTGAGCTCCATCAGGGAGAAGCAGGCTTTCTGCTAACACATGAGGCTTCCTCCTGAGCTTTTCTGCTCACTTCTCCTCTGTGGCCAAGACAAAAGAAGGACCTAACCCTAAGGGCTGCTTCCGAGTCCACATCAATCTCTGCCGGTCTTTTTTTCCAACCTGAAGAGTTCCCTTGGCAACCAAGTTAATAGTCACTTGCTGCTTTCCACTCTTCTACTTCTTATTAATGCTTTTTTAGTTTTCAATAGTTTGTCTTACTTGAAAAGAAACTGCAGAAGCTGCACTTCTGTTGTTGCTAAGTTTTTTAAAACCTGGGTTTCTGCCAGGTTTTTTAAAGGACCCATGCAGATTTTCCCCCGTGAATGAATGCTTAACAACAAACACACATTGTACCTGCTATGTGTCAGGAATGGCTCTGTGGGCTTCATATACAATCATCCATTTAATCTTCATGACAGCCCAGGAGATAGGTACAATTATTATCCCCATTTTGCAGATGAGGACAGAGAGGCCAAGGGCAGGTACCTTGCCCAAGACTAATTCACAGTCCCTTTCGTAGGCTGGAATGTACCGGGAGGTCATTCCTTTGAACAGAGTGTCTGCATTTTCACAAGATATCCCTGGAGAGAAGGCGCCTTCATCCAAAGGGGTAGATTCTTAGTGATGGAACTTGGATCCTGAGCAGTAAGATGGAAGAGCATGTGAGGAGGGGCAGTTTGGTGAGAGCGTCTCCCACCCCACCATTTGAGCATAGAGTACAATGGCACTGTCTCTCTTTTGGCTGATTTGGCACATGACAGAGTGGCTTAAGATGCACTGACTCTGGCACAGACAGAACTGGGAACAGGCCTGGCTCCTTGGAAATTCTGAAGCTGAGGCTGGCTGAGCAAGGAGGGAGTTTCTCGGAGGGAATGCCTGCCTGGATAGGGTTTTAGATTTGACAGGATCCCTCAGCCTCAGCACCCTTGCGATCTGGGCCACATAATCCTTTGCTGAGAGGACTTTCTTGTGTGTTGTAGGGTGTTCAGCTACATGCCCACCTCCACCTCCTAGATGCCAGCAGCATTTATCTGGTTGTGAGAACCCAAAAAGTTGCCAGATGAGGCCAAAAGTCCCCTGGGTGGCAAGTCACCCCTGGTTGCGAATCACTAGATCAGATGACCTGAGGGCTCTTTCCGCTCAGGTATGGTTTTTTGATTCTATCATAGGCTGTCAACATGAGCTGCTTTATACATCACTTCATTTAGAAGAAGAGAGACCAGAATGTAGAGTTGCCACTCAGATATGCAGAAGAGTGACCAGAATTCTGCAGTTTGTTATGAAAGCCTTCTCAGTGGAACCAATCTCCATGACGATCATGCTCCATTTCAGGACTTTTCCCACCTTCACGACTTCTCCTATAAGGAATCCCCAAGAAATCCTCCTCTTCCTGGAGCAGTGTGTGTGGGGGTGCAAGGGTGTTTCCCAGAGGAGACTTCCACAGGTGCTCACCTCACTTCTGCCTGCCCAGGTCCCCTGCTCACATGCTCTCCCTTCCTGTTCGGCTATGGAGAAAATGCTCAGGCTCCTGTAAGAGAGATCTCACCTCTCTCCTCTGCTCAAGGCTATTCTCCAATAATTTGTTCCCCTCTCTCCTGCATCACCAATTTTTTCTTTGGTTGCATATTGGCATTGGTGCACAAACTTTTCTTGACCTCAACGAACGCTCCCACTCGATTTCTTTCATTTTTGCACTATAGCTTCTATTTTTTCCACCTTCAATCTCTTTCCTCCATTCTCTTAAAAAGAATTTTTTTTTTTGGTGGTAAAATACTGTGCCAGTTAATCTTAATTGTCACCTTGATTGAAGACTCCTGGAGAGGAGAGTGGACCCTGGGCACTGTACTCATCAGTGGATTAACCCACTAATGTTCACAGCTGAGTGGGCTGTTAGGAGGTGAGGCCCAGTTGGAAGTGGGGCTGCCTTTGTCGGGTGTGTCTCTCCTGGTCTCCGCCCCTACACTCTGCTTCCGGACCTCCATGAAGAGAGCGGCTTTGCTCCACCACGCCCTTCTGCTATGATGTCCCTGCCTTGGAGCGAGTGGACCTCGGAACTCTGTGGCTTCTTCCACTTCAGCCTGTAGACAACTGTTGCCTCTCCCACGTGTAGCTTCTGGGACGGCCCCTCTAGACAGCTCCTTCCTGCTGAGGACTCTGGTTCTAGCACATGGACTTCTTGGCCTGCCCTGACTGGAGGAAGTGCCTCACTGTTCTTCAGCTGAATGGCTTCTTTCCCACTTTTTCTTTTTCTTTTTTTTAAAGATCAAGTTTATGGAGAAATAATTTATATATAATAAAATGCACAAGAAATATTTAGTGTGATGAATTTTAATAAATATGTCCACTTCTGTAATCATCATCCTAATCAAGATAATCAATTCCATCAGCCAGAACTGTCCTTTTTTCCCCTACGAAGTTAACCATCCCTGCCAAGGAAATCATTGATCTTGAACATTCTATATTAGTTTTTCCTACTGTAAGAGTTTATAAATGGAATCATATAGTAATATTATTTTAGGTAAGGATTATTTTGTTCAGTGTAATGTTTTTGAGGTTCATCCATGTAGTTGAGCATATTAGAAGTTTGCTATCTTTTATTATGTCCCATTGCATGAATATGCGACTGTTTATTTACTCATCTATTGAGGGACAGTTTTTCAGTATCGCTATTCTGAATAAAGCTACTATGAACATTCACATGCAAGTCATTGTGTGGACATGCTTTCTTTTATCTTAAGTAAATGCCTGGGAGTATAATTGCAGAGTCATATCACAAGTATATGTTTAACTTTAAAAGAGACTTCTGTTTTTTTTGGTACCGGGGATTGAACTTGGGACCTTGTGCTTGTGAGACAGGCTGAGGAACCACTAAGCTAAATCCTTGGCCTAAAAGAGACTTTTTAAAGTGATTGTGATATTTTACATTTCCATCAGCAATATTTGAGTTCCAGTTGCTCCACATTTTAACCAATACTTGGTATTATCAGTCTTAAAATTTTAGCCATGCTAGTGCTTGTGCAGCAGTACCTCGCTGTGGATTTAACCTGCATTTCCTTGCATATTTTATGTGCTTATTGACAATTTGTATATATTCTTCCCCAATATTTCAATCCCAATATTCTTCCCCAATATATTCTTTCCCGATATATCAATTCAAATCTTTTGCTCATTTTCTAGTTGAGTTGTTTTCTTCTTATTATTCAATTGTACAATTTGTTTGTAGTCTTTTCAATAAATCTATTTGTCAGATGTATGTATTGTGAATATTTTCTACTAGCAGTTTTCCTTTCCACTTTTTTTGAAGAGTGGGGTTTTTGTTGTTGTTGTTGTTGATGGTGGTGGTGGTGGTAGTGGTACTAGGAATTGAACCCAGGACCTGCTTATTGACCTATATCCCAGACCATTTTTTATTTGAGATTGAGTCTTACTAATTCACCAACTCACTATAATGTGAGGCTAGACTCTGGCTGATGATCCTCCTGCCTCAACTTCCCAAAGTGCTGAGATTCTAAACATGTGCCACCATATCCAGCTAAAAGTCTCAAGTTCTAATAAAGTCCAGTGTATCAGTTTGCTTTTCGGTTATGGTTAATGCGATTACTCATCTAAGAAATCCCTGCCTGCACCAAGATCACAAAGATTTTCTCCAATATTTCCTTCTAGATAATTTAGTTTTATATTTTAGCTTTAGACCTATAAATTAATTTTTGTGTGTGGTCTGAAATGGAGATTGAACTTTTTTCCCCTTTTTTCATAGTAGTGGGGAATTAAACCCACAACCTTGAAAATGCTAGGTAAGCACTCTACCACTAAGTAACTACCCTAATGTTCTTATTTTCATGTAGGTATTCAGGTGGTTTTTTTGTTTTGTATTTTTTGTACCAGGGATCGAACTCAGGACCTCACGTTTATTCAGGTGTTTTAGTGTCATTTGTTGAATCAACTGTCCTTTCTTCATTGAATTACCTTGGAACTTTTGTACAAAACAATTGACCACGCAAGTAGGGTCTTTTCTATTTAATCTGTTTGTCTGCTTTTGTGCCAATACTGTACTCTTTTTGATTACTGAAGCTCTACAGTATGTCATAAATTCAGGTGGCCTAAGTCATCCAACTTTGCTCTTCTTTTTCAGCATTGTTTTGGCAGCTGTGCAGTTGTCCTGCTCGGGCTCCTTCTTGGAGAGATTCTCCACAGACCACGTGACAGATGGACAGCCTCCGTAAGTCTACCTTTCTCATACTTCCTCAGACTGTTGCCAGTCAATGGCTGGTGATCGTGGGATGTTAGGAATGGGCCTTGGTGCTCAAAGCAGGATTCCTGGAAAGGGTAATTTTGACTTGCAAACTTCCCAACAGACTTGCTATGTCTCTTTCAGAAGTGCACTCAAGCCTGAGGCACTTTCTATCCAATCCTTCCCCTCAGGTTGAAATTTAATCACCACTGTGTAGCATTCGAAGGAGATTTAAGAGGAGATTGGCTCTGTTACTGTGGAAGTGATAAGGATGAAGTTGGCCTGTCCTCCTCCTATCTTTCTTTCTCCTTCTCTCACCCTCTTGCCTTTCCATCATGGTTGCTGCCACAAGAAGATCCTCACCAGATGTCAGAACCTCCATCTTGGAATTTCCATCTTCCAGAGCTGTGTGGAAATAAATTTATGTTCTTTATAAATTACCCAGTCTCAGGTATTTTGTTAGCAGCATAAAATGGAATAAGACACAAGCCTTGCCCCTTTTTATTATGATAAATTATACATGGCAAGATATTTACCATCATATCCATTTTTAAGTCCACAGTTCTGTGGTAGTAATGCATCTATATAGTTGTGGCATCATCATCACCATCCATTTCCAAGACTTTTCATCTTTCCAAAGGGAAACAGCTTCCATTAAACACTAACTCTTATCATCCTTTCTCCCTAACTCCTGCCAAACTGCATTCTGTTTTCTATTTTTACGAATTTGACTATTCTAGGTCAAATATGAGTGGGATCACATATTTATTCTTTTGTGCCTGGCTTATTTCATTTAGCATAATATCTTTAAGGTTCATCCATGCTGTAGCATGTGTTCACATTTCTTTCCTTTTTAAGGCTGACTAACATTCCGTTGTATTTGTATACAGTACTACATTTGTTTGTCCATTCGTCACAGTCCTTGTGTTGCTTCCACCCTTTGTTAGTGAATCGTACTGCTAAGACTGGGGTGTAGAAATATTTGTTTGCACTCCAAGGCCTGCTTTTGCTAGCTGGGCCCTGAAAAGGGTAGTGTGGGTTGATATAGGACCACTTTGGTTGGGTTGTTAGAGAATTAAGAATTTTTTAAAAATTTTAGATAGATGATTCTATTTATACATGGTATGTTGCATTATAACCCTAGCATCAGTGTAAACAGACTACAGATAGACCCACATCAGGTTCAGGTTTGGTTTTCCCAACAAATGTATTAGCTACAGATTTAATTCCAATGTTTTAGGACTATTTAAATTTCAGAATTTTGGATAAGAGATTATAGATCTGTCTATCAGAGGTTATCAATTTATGTAGATAAGAAAATAGACATCTTTACTTTTAACCCATTAATTTTTCCCAGGTATAATTCAGCTCTATAAACATTTTGATGGAATTAATGGATTAATTCAAGGAAAGAAAGAGACGGATTGGTCAAATATTTCAGTTTGGCCAAAGATTTCATGGGAACACATAGTTCTCAAGTCAGCAAGAGCTGTGGGGAGGATGAACTCTTGAGAAAAGTGATAGGGAGAAAATGAATAGGCCAGGCCAGCTATTTGAAAATTAAGACTCAAAGTTGAAGTCACAGATATGCTCATAAAAGTCATTGAAGGAAGTTAAGCAGAATTTAACTTATGGTCTTTAGATTAGATAGATGGGAATCCATGAGAAATACAGTTGTTTTGGACTAACTACCTGGTTAAGATGGTTATACCATTTTTGAATCTTGATTCTATGTGAATTCTGTGTTATGTGCTTAATGTCCATTTCTTATTTAATCCATATAAAACTCGGGTGTATATTTCAGGGACTCCTAGATATGCAATTTACAGGGCCCAGTGAATATGGGACCTCTCACTCAGAAATTAAGAATTTCAAGATGGCAGTAGAAGTGCATTAAATCAAGTGCAAAGCCCTTCTTAGGTGTGAGCCCTGGAACAGCACAGGTGGAACAGGTGAGGTGGGACAATAACTGGCCCCATTTTTCATATGAGGCTGTTGAAACAGAGAGGCTGTGTGTTACTCAAGGTCAGACAGCTCAGAAGCTGTGCTCTAGTAGACAAGGCAGGACTTCTTAGTCCTTGAACCTTTGGCTAACTCAGGGCCAGACTTCAGTGAATACCACAGGACAACACATAAAGACAATTCAGGAAGTACTAAGGAGTGTCTAGAAGTTTTATAGGTGTCACAAGACCACAAGAGAGAGCAAGCCAAAATTTGATGACATGCATCAGTAGTTGATGCTAATAAATCACTACAAATATTCAGGAGCCTCTCATCAGGACTGTCCTGCCAGTTTTTATGGTGTGTGTCTTTTAATTCCTCTAGGAGGATGGTGTGAGCTGTCTAACTTGTGAAGGTTTCTTATTAAACAATTCTTTTGGCTAGTTGAAATAAATCAAACTAAATGCTAATTAGTATCTTCCAAAAGGTAAGAAAATGTCT